ATGGTTTGTTGGCAATCTTCTGTGATTCTTGGCTTGTAGATCTCTGCTTTCAGCTTCATTTTAGCATTGACTTTGTGGGCATATGTGTCTAAGTCTCATCTTTTTATAAGACATCAATCACATTACATTAAGGGTCCACTATAATCCTCATCTTAATTAATTATATCCGCAATGACCCTGCTTTCCAAATATGGTCACATTTTTAGCTATTAGGGGATAGGTCTTCAGTATATATTTTGGGGGTATACAAGTCAACAAGGGTTGGGGAGGACAAGATGGAAAACAAGGAGTGTCTCAAACTTACCTCCTGACTTTCAGATAGGTTGCTGTGAGGAAGAACTAAAACATCCAACTCAGAGAATTGCAGGATATTCAGCATCCTTAGAGGAAAGTTGTATTATGTTTTTACCAAGAAGTAGCAGAAACTAGAAAAAAATAAGACATTGGCTGCTTGTGTAATGAATGCAACAGTAGTATCAGAGAAAGCTGTGGGAAAGTTTGGGGTCTGGGAGAGGTTTACACTAAGGACAAAGAAATATAGAACATTATGGAGACACAGAGAAGTTACCGGAAATTGTTCAGTATTTCCTTATACTGAGATGTCTGACTGATGAAAAGAGGCATGAGAAACAAGGCACCTTTAAACTCAAGAGCTTTTCTGAGAAAGGCTAACGATCCAGCACCCTCTCTAGAGCAATGGCAAGTTCCACTGGGCATAGTCTATGTTCTCTTGGACAGAACAAGGATCAAATAAATGCTGGTTCTATCATCCATTTGATATATGTGGCTGGGTCAGGAATGGAACATTCTTAAATCTCAGGATCCTCATTTATAAAATGAATACAGTAATGGGCTTATTTGGGGAAGTTTCTGTAGTAGATCTCAGTATGGTTACTGAAGGTCTGGAGGATTCTCATTGCATTGCCCTCAGCAAACTGCATGACCATGCAGATTCCTCATTGTCTCATTTTTAAAGTTGGGATTGCACTAGTAATGTGTTTTTGGGCGGTAGCACCAAGTCATGGGGCTCTTGTGTAAAAATGTGATTTGGAAAACTGAATGGTAATGTTGCCTTTCTTTAGTTACAGTGAGCCAGACAGCGTTCTATGAGCATCTAAAAGTACAGAAATGTGCTGAGGAAGGCAGCGGCCACACTGTGTACCTTTTTATCCCCTTCTCCAGTCCAAATAAATCTTATGTGTCAATGTATCTTCCTTAATCCATCTGCCCTATTAGGGGTTCATTCCTGTGAGTGTTCGCACCCCCGCTTATGGGAAGTAAATTTTGTCCAGACTTTCCCTGAATTTGCCAGAAAAGAGAAACCTTTATCTTCTTTGGGATTTATTCTAAAAATGCATATCTCATCAGGGTTCCAATTGTATTTTCTGGAGATTCTGGATGTCTAGAATGATCTTGCATTTGTTTATTTCATCATTGCTTAATTTGAATTGGTCTGATCACATGGGCATTTATTTTATACCTTGAGTAATAACCCAATGTTATTTTATTTTTTTTGCTCAAATTGTTCCAGATTTAGCCAATACCCTTTCAGTGTATTTTTTGACATAGACCTATGTAGGTTTTGTTGTTGTTATTAGCACATTTTTACTTTCTGATGTTACAAGATGATCTAGTCTCCTCTGGCATATTACCTGCTCCAATCCTAGAACCAGCAGGTTTTTCCCCAAGGAGACCTGGTTAATTACTAAATGATTCCAATTATATGAGATTTTAGCAGAGGCAGACACATAGTAAGAATATCAGTAGTCGTCCTTTAATGGAGTGAGAGATGCAGCAATAGACAAGGAGAAAATAAGTGAAGTACAGTGAAATGATTCTATATTATATTATAGTGATGGAATATGATAGTATGAACTTGGCAAAACCCTAGAACAGTGTAATACGTGTGTATCTGAAATCTTTATGTGTTTGTTTCTGCTGTCTATAGTTTATGTGGACTTTCTCACATGAATTATTTGGAAGACTAACGTACATCATCTCAGGTTGGTTCTTTGTTGTCAAATCTTCCTTTCCAATGTAAGAAAATTAGTTTTTGGGTTTAGGACTCATCCTAAATCCATAACAATATCATGTTGAGATACTTAATATAATGATATCTGCAAAGATCCCATTTCCAAATAAATTCACATTCACAGGCTTAGGAGGTTAGGATTTGCGCATATCTTTTCAGCTTACTTACTTATTACCACACTGCCCAACTTATTACTTTTCTTCTGGACTCTAGAGAAGAGCAAAGGTAGGCAGGACTAAGGCTAGATTTTTCAGGACCAAAGATGCAAGCCGGTGCTTCTCAGAGGACTGGCTTCTCTCCAGCCTATGCAGGAGCTCTGGCAAGTCCTGCACAATCAAGCCACTTGGAGGTAACTGGAGATGGTAACTTCAGCTGCTAGCACAAATTTGCTGCTTAAAGGTAAATGTATAGAATACAGAATACAGAAACTGTATACTTTACTGGTGGTGGATAAGTCACTTTATATTGTAGTATAAAAATTCTGAAAATATATTTGTACTTAGTCCAAAGTAAATCTCCCTCCACACAGACTCCTTCACTTCCCTATCCTGAGGCAACAATTACCAACTTTCCAGAAATATCCTGTGCTTATGCAATCACACATACAAATATTTCTAAAATTTAATTAGAAGTTACTCAGGATACATAATCCTGTAGGGCTATTTTTTCCCCCACTCACCAACATACCATATTTACTAGCTATGCCACATTCTAGGTACTGGTTATTAATTTTAAGGAAACTTCATAATTTCTTTATAAATTTTATTTATATATATTATATCATTATTCATTTTTAAACAATTTTTGCGCTCCCCCCAGGTGTAGTCCCCATAGAATTTTCTCCCTCAATTCACCCAGCACCATCACCACCGTCCCCTGTGCCTCTTCCTCCCTCCTCATCCCTCTCCCTCCCTTCCTCCTCTCCCCCCCTGCAGGATGCCTCTGGCTTATAATTGTCTGCTTATTTTTGGGAAACTACATAATTTAATTTCTCATTTATCATCATTTAAATTGTTTCACATCTTTTGCTATTAAAAACTACAGTGAATATTATACACACGTGCAACTGCAGACTAAATTCTTACTTTTTTTAATTTGATTTTTGTATAGATATTGCTATTTTTATATAGGTGTTATATACATTTATTCCCCCCTGAGCAGTGTTATGCCACGCTCTTGCCAACACTATCAGAACATTACATGTATAAAAAGAGAAGAGAGAAAATCAAGAAGAGAAAAATCAATCTCATTCATATAAACACAACTGCAGGTAGTTTAATTTAGCGTTGCCCTGGTTTTGCATATTTTTTCCTTCCACGTTGATTGGCTCCCGTCTTTTTTCCGTTATTATGGGAAAGCCCCCAAAATCTAGCCTCCTGCCATAGGAGCTGAGACCGAAGGCTGAGAAAAAAGCCTTTCTTTTTCTTCTTTCTCTCCTTATTTAAACCACAGAAAGCCGGTCTCGAATGGCTCAGCCCGCACTTTTAAGACGCGCGATTCCGACCTGTGGTTCACTTCGCAGGTCCCTCTCAGAGCCCACACAGTCCTCGGAGCGTGGACTCACTGTTAGTGGACTCAACGCTCGGGAAGCGTCTGCCTGCGGGCTCCGTCTGCCTGGCCCCGCAGGCGCCTCCGAGTAGGCGCCTGCGCTCAGTCGGAGCCGCCCTCCTGCATTAGAGCCAGCCCGCCAAGGGCGGAGCCGGGACGCGCGGGTGTCGCACTATGGCGAAATTTTGAGCAGCATACCGGAGTGTTAACACTAAAGAGATATTAAGAAATGGTATGAGATAGAGACCCAGAGAGTGGGAAGATCAGGTTGGGATACTGAGTCTTAGTCACAGGGGATGTTTGGAGGAAGGAACTTGACACATAGGAGGCATTCAGTCCTTCCGCTCGAAACAAACAAGAAAAAAAGAACTAAAACCAGTGAAGATGGCAGAATAGGAAGTTACAAGGGCCCATTCCAGAGCAGAAACACCGAAAGGTAAGCGTCAGAGTTGTATTTGTGGGAACTCTGAAAATAGCCAAAGGTGTACAGCAATCAAGTCAACCCTCCATGAATAAAAAGACGAGAAACACTGTATAATTGGGATAGGAATAACGACCTAAAGGGAGTCAGAAGGATTTTATGAGAAAATTATGAGAAATGGGTACTGATGTATGCCAAGAAAATAGGCAAATATCCTAGAGATGAAATAGCCAAATTCACAAACTGTGGGAAACATTTTGGCAAGTCTTCATAATTATTAACTAAACGCCCGATTGACTTGAAAAAATGTATTCAAACAAATATTTGTATGAGTAGTCATAGCACCACTCACAATATTCAAAAGGTGAAAACGATGACCTTTGAAATGTTCTTTCGCCAGATGAAAAGGGATAAACAATAGACTATTTAGCTATAAGCAGGAGTGAAGCCGCTACTGGCAGGTTCCTGAACGTTGGGCTGGGCTTTGAAGTGGAGGTGCTGGAGGACAGGGAGCAGGGAGGCATCCTGGAGGATTTTCCAAAGGTCCTAGAGGCTTGTAAGGGTGAACCAGTTTCACTTGTTGCAATGATTCTTTGGGTAAAATACCAAAATATGGTGGGGGTTCAGATACTGCAACCCAGTGAACAACCAGGCATAGGATGACATGTTAATCCTAGGTCTCCTTGGGGTATCCATTCATCACCATATTCCATCCATTCCAAGAATCGCCTTTTGTCATCTGAGATCCAGATGTGTCTAATAATCTATGGTGTGTATTAAATAAATAAATGTTAAGTGCTTTAGCTATGTGTTTGCGTGTTTATTAGTTGATACTTGTCTCTTGGTCCAACCATCCCCTCTGGCATGATAATAGATACTTAGTAAAATGTTGACAAATAAATGAGTGAATGGCTAAACAATCTTTTTACAATTTGAGCCTTTGATCTGTTGACAATTTGACGCAAGAAAGGCCATGTAACCCATTTTATTTTCCTAGCTCATAAGGGTTAAAACTCACAGGTAAAAGGCTCGCAAGCGGAAGGACACACTCAGATGTATGCCCAGGCTCTGAATACACACTCCTGAAAACTCCAACCCAATGAAAAGACACTACCAGAGTTGCTTTTTTTTTTTTTAAGAAACATTTTATGGCTATATAAAAAGCGGGGAAAGCAAAAACTCATTGATAGTTGAAACTAGATTGCAGGAGAGAATTGAGTGCGTGGAGTAGGTCTTGAGTTTTGGGCTTCAGCAATGCTTTAATACTGGGCTGTCGGCAAAAAGTATAAAGAAAAAAAATATTAGAAGCCGAAAGTGAAAAACACACGACTCCTCCCTTCCTATTTTTCTGTCATCCCACCAGGTGTTCATAAACGCGTGCACAAGGTACTCGTCCCAACAGCCACCCCCAAGGCCTTGTGCCTTATCTGGACGCTGCCACTGGCAGCAGCCTCCGCTGCACTTCCGTGGCTCCCTGATCTTGCCCCGCGCGCGAACGCTGCGGGGCTTGGTTGTTCTGGAGCTCCCGTGGCCTCCAGAGACCTCAGGGGTGTCAGAGTAAGAACATAAAACCAATATGGAGAACTTGACGCCCAAATGCCATGTATCAGCACGTACCAAAGAGACCTCCTTACTCACTCTATTCTTTCCCGTTGCAGTCTTGGCACCGGACTGCTCCCCTAATCGTTTCTCACCAGGCCAGTTCTCTGAACACTTTTTTTTAAAAAGATTTAATTATGCAAAAAAAAAAGATTTAATTATGCTTACAAGACCTGGGAGATGGGGGAGGAGAATAAGAGATTTCACCCAAGACAGAGTTGGGAACAGAACCGGAGGAAACACTCGGCCAAAGGGAAGAGAGGGAGACAGGAGAGGTCCCCTTTGCCTGGTGGGTCAGCTGCCAGAATGGAGCTCTAACTCTAACTCGTGCTGCAATAGTTGGGATAGCTTCTTAGTGCCGCTCTTTAACCCTTTGTGCCAGCAGGGAAGGTCCCAAACACGCTTCTATAAATAGCTTCCCTAGTCCTTAGCCACCACATTAGTCATCCAACGCACTCTCTGAACACACGGTATTATATCGCTCAAAGTCTATTTCCCAGAATGTCCAAACTTAGGAGGGTAAGGCTCCCGTTTTGTCTGATTTGCTTTTGCATCCCACCTAGCACGCGACTAAGCAGTAGGAACTTACCTTAAAAGAAGTTAGGTAGGATCGAGATGGGAAAAAAAAATGTGCAAAATGATGTAAAAATAAACATTGTAATAAAAAAAAGATTAAAAAAGAAGTTAGGTAGGAAGGAAGGAAGTGAAGAACGAAAGAAGGGAAGAAGAACGGCAAATAAGGGTAAGCGTGCTTGGGATAAATGTTTAATTAGCAGGGCTATTCAATTTATTTTTTTGCGTATGGCCCAATTCAATCGTCTAATTCTCCTCCCACTGGGTACCTTCCCTTTCTTGCTTCGCCCAGTAGCCCCAGTCAGCCACTCGCAGGACTCGAAATCCCTAGCGCAAAGGTCCCTTGGTGGAGAGAGAGGTTGAGCAGGCCCCAAGTGCAGCTTGCAGGTGCTCTGCTGTCCACCCAGTCCAAGAACCTCTCTCCATGGTCCTGCTAGGCTTCCCTGAGGCCCAAGAAGCTTAGTGCCCATCTTAGAACAAAAATAGGATACATTTCAGTGTTTTCAACTTGTGATTTACCTGAAATATTCTTGTTAATTGTTAAAAGTCTTACATTGTGGGGAGGGAAATACACTGGGCTATGGTGAGGGCACATGGGTGATTTGGTGATGGAAAACCCAAGGGGATTGCAACTGAGATGGTAAAATGCACAAAACCCACTCTAGTGAATCCTGTCACTCCCCACACCTCTAGACCTATACCCCAGTTCTTGTATGAATAAATAAATATTTATTTTTAAAAAGAAAGCAAAGAGAACCACATTCTATCTCCTTTTCTCTTGGGAAGTTTGAGGGGAGTATTTAAGAGAAGGTCTCTGTTTCTAAGAGAGTGCAGCAAATCCCTGACTGCCAACTATGAGGTTGGAGACAGTCTCAGAACCCCAACCCTGGGATGACTTTAGAAAACTCCACCATAAAGACCAGAGGGTAGTGTTTAGTAGAGTGTTGCAATAAAACTATCAGATGCATTGGCCCTCCCTGGTGGCCCAATAGGTTAAAGCACAGAACTAAGAAGCTATCTGCAGCCACTATAGCATGAATTTGATATCTGGCCAGGGAGGTGACCCAAATGGCTAGGGAGACTTTTCTGAACCTGCCCATTGCTCCCCTAAGGAGTGTATTTCAGTAGATCTGCCTGTTCTGTGCTCCACTCTGTCTCAGGTGAATCCTCTCACCCCCTGCATCTCTGGCCTGTACCCCAGTTCTTGTGTGCATAAATAAATGAAATCTTAAAAAAAAAAAAACTGCAAGATGCAGCCACAAACAACTGACTGTGGAAACACAATGTCGTCCAGGGACCTAGACGAGCTGATGGGGAAACTCGGCCCCCATTTGGCTCAGAGAAGGACCCATTTTGTCTTCAATGCTCTACTGTCTAGGTTCTGACTTGCAGAAAACAATATTTGTGGGGTGTGGGGTGGGCTAGGTTATGAGATGAACTTCAACGTGTAAGTCTACCTCTGCTATTTCCAGCCTGGGCAGCTGATGGTAAGACTGGGGCTATCCCTTCAGTCAGCAGAGTGTGAACTGAGGTCAGGCCCAAGACCTTACTCTCCCCTGGCCAAATTTCTCTTCTGAGAAGGAGTGCAACGGGGTGAGAAAATTCTCAAAATTCAAGCTCTTGTACTGGCCCCCTCACCTGCAGAATCTTTCTCAGGGCCCATACCTGCTAGCCACTGCCTTGGGTGGCCCCCGCAGCTGTGCGCAGGTACTTGAGGACAACCTGGTGGCCACGTTCCTCAGCCAGGTCCACGGGCAGGCGACCCCAGGCATCTGGCACATCCAGCCTCGCCCCCGCCTGATGCAGCGCCACCAGCGTGTCCAGGAAGCCCTCCCGGGCAGCGTCGTGCACCGGCCGCGTGAGGGTGGCGGGGTCGGCGCAGTTGGGATCCGCGCCGTGGAGCAGCAGCAGCTTCGCCACGCGGACGCTGCCCATCATCATGACCTGTGGGGAGATCACAGTGGTTAAGTTGGGGGCAAGCAGCAAAGGTAGGATTCATTTAGAGAAATTATTCGTGGGCTCTCCCTGGTAGCGCAACGGGTTACAGCACAGCACTGTGGAGCTCTCCGCAGCCACCGTAGCGAGTTGGATCCCGACTAGGGGGCTGAAGCACACAGCGCAGGAGACCTCTCCTGACCCAGCTGCTCCTTTCAGCAGTGAATTTCGGTCGATCTGCTTGTTCTGCCCCCCACCCTGTCTCTGGGGAAGCCTCTCACCCCAAAACCTCTGACCTGTACCCCAGTTCTTGCATGCATAAATAAATAAATACTAAAAAAAAAAAACCTATTCATGAAGCCCTACGCGATCCATTTTTCAGTACATGTTTTATCCCATTGTGTTAGTTTTGCAGACTGCTGGCTAAACCTACAGAACACTGCCAGAGGCACAAAAAACAGCAAAATGGCAAGGAAAAAGTGATGTTTACTATAGTCTTTTAATGTGAAATTATGCAAGGTCAGGAAACGGTGTATGTTTCACTACTGTCTAGCTAAGGTTAAAAAAAAAAAAGTCCTCCATTCTGAGCACAAAGCTGGTTTTAAATGTTATTATATTTCACATTACTGAAAAACAACCTAATTAAGCATTTAAATCATAATGCAATACAAAAGCAAAAATGAAATATAATATTTGTGCTTAAATGCATACGTTCAAAAAATTATCCAACTTTCTTCTTTTCCCTTTTTATTAACACAATCTCTTCTAACATATTCCAGAACCCAAGCTCTCCAAGCTGGTGACATTTCAGGATAAAAAATTATTAATCATGCATGAATTATTTAAAAAAAAAATCATGCTTGTTTTACTTCTATAAGCACTGAACAATCTCATCTCAAAACCTTTATGCTTCAAATTCCAAATCATCTTAACTTGTAAGGTATTTTGTTTTGTTTTTATATCTATTTGTTAAAGTGTATAAAAGTTATCCTATGAAACACTGTTTCATAAAAGGAAGATTCACATAAAGTTTATGAAGTCTCAAGTAGTTGCTTTCCTTTGTCTTATAATATTGACATTTTGCAATGTACATTTGTATCATACACTTATTTGTTTATATCAGAAACGATGCTTCATGTTGGGAAATAAAAGTAGGGTGATTACTACCAAGAAGAATTCATTTCACACTGAGATTTAGGAAGTTACTGAAGTAGGGGTGAAGGGTTAGGAACCAGCACTATAAAAAATCAACACGGAAAAACCAACTATCCTCCCACCCCCCTCATTCCACGCCCATAGGAGGGGAAATAATGGCTTTTCTGAACAATGAGGAATTGAAAACTCTATCAAAATAATTTATATCAAGTAAGTTAAAATAATAACAAATCATAAAATAATAACAGGAGATACACTCTGCCTCAACGGTAACTAAGCTGATAACATTTCAGGAGCGGTTACAAGAATATTTTTTCTTAACATATGCCTGTATTTTCTAAAACCTTGCAGCAAAAATATAGTTGGGGTTAAAATAAAAACAAACACAACAAATATATAGTTGTAACTAATTTCAGTCGACATTTATTTTAACACCCGTCGATTTTTTTACTGGAAACTTCCCCTCCCCCGCCAAGCTCGGAAGGTGATCAGCTCCATTCAGAGATCTGTAAGTTCGGTTTAAAGTGGTCCCAGAAAATCTTACATTTCTTTAAACTGTTGCGTATCACCTCAGCATTTGTAAATTTTGTATCTGATCTGACCGGTCTATATTAACAATAGGCTTTCCCTTCCAATCGTTACATAGGCTACAGACCTGAGCCCCGAGTGCCTCCTCCCTCATTCCAGCGAAGACTTCCTGAGCCACCAGGGCTTCGACTAAAGCCAAACCCCATCTGAAAACTCCTCAGGAATTCTCCCCTTCATCCTGAATCGAAACACTAGCTAAGTTCTGACTCCCTTACAAACCCAATCCTCTAAAATAGCCCGCCTTTCTCCCAGCAGTTATCTGCAGACCCACCTGAATTGGTCTCCGACCCAGACCGTTCAGTGCGTCGGGCTGCGCCCCAGACTCCAGCAGCGCCCTTACTTCTTCCACCTGGCCCCGGGCGGCGGCTGAGGCTAGCCGGTCTGCGGTGGGATCCATACTGCTTCCCTTTGCTCTCCCTCTCTCTCACTCTCTTCCCCTAACCCTCCTTCCTCCGCCTCTCC